GAGAGAGAAAGAAAAACTGTGGTGTTTTCCACTGAGCGGGTTTTGCAAACGTGTCGGGGAGAACGTGGACGGATTAATGACGACGATAAATACGGCGCGGGTGTCAGTTTTGTGATTGTTGTCGAGCAAATTTCACACCGGAGAAGTTGGACGAACCGCCGCAGCTGCTTCCAGTTGCTGGGTTACAATTAATTGTTTATAACGCTGTTAGCTGCATGAAGGTTTCAACCTAAACGAGCTTAAAAAGAGGCAGAATTTAGTAAATGCTTCGATTCTAAGTGAAGAAACCACTGCTGAGACTTGTTTTCCTACGTCTAATTCATCCGTGACTGAAGGGAAACCTAAACACATGTAGTCGAGACATTTGCATCATAAACAAAACAGAAGAAGTTCACTAACGCACATTTTCCAGTTGACACAAGGAGCTGCCTGTGTTGTTGTGCCCCTGAGTGTCTGGACTCCTGATTGCTATGCACACACATGTCTCAGAGGAAGGTGGCAGAACAAATTGCCATCATCTGAAATCCGTGTGTGTCTGGGTGTTTGTGTGCATTTAGCTGTGTAGTTCTGTACACACAACAGTGCGTGCGTGTGTGTTTCTGACCTTGACATATTGCTAATCCATTGAAGGAGAAAGACTTGACCTGATAGCCGCAGGGCCAAAGAGCATGACTGACAATGAATGCACATTTGTGCGAACACGTCCGCGTTTCGCTTCCCCCTGTGTACGTGCCTGCAATGCCGTGCGAGTGTGTGAATGTGTATCTGTGTTTATCTCATCTGCTTTATAAACTCGAATTAAGCTGTCTGTACCACACTCAACGTAAGATAAAGTGTCCTGCTCGGAAAGCCCAACAAATCAGTCAGAGGTTTAATATCTCTGATTGTGCGTTTGACACTTTTACAGCCGCAACAGTGGCTGCCATTATCCGGCTACAAACTGCATATTAAGTTAGTGCCTTGAAGTGTTAATTCCATAGTTATTAAAAAAAAAAAAACAAGCTGCAGTATAGGAGAGAAAAGCGAGCACAAGTGACAGAGTAAAACAATGAGCACGTGAAGAGTGCATTCTTACAAAGTGAGGGGAAAAAAAACTAAAGGAGAAGGAAACAATGGTGGAGAAAATGAGTGGGAAGGGGAATGCAGGAGAGAAATGCTGAATTGCTATTGCATGGTGCAGAAGAAAAGACACTTTGCTCAGCAAGCTCTAGCTGCCAGGAAGCATTTTAATCACAACACTAGATCCAAATAGGAGCCGAAAGCAGGGTAGGTCAGGAGGTTGGGTCGATTTGAAGTAAAAGGTTATCGCAAGAGGGGGCTGAGTGTAATCAGATCTGGTTAAAGGAAAAATCACTGTTATAATGGAAAGAGAGAAAGTGAAGGACGGCGGCGCAGACAAAGTCAGAAAGAAAACACACACTGTGTCGAGAAAAAGAAAGGGAGAAATTAAAGAGATCTGAGGAGAAAGAGAAACACGGTGTTAAGTGAAAGAGAGGCAGGATTTATGTAATCTTTCTCATCCTTGATATCTGTTGACCCTACAAGCCTTCTCAGAGGCATCCTCCATCACCATCCGTCTACCTAACCTCCAGCACACATTTTAGAGTTGTGCAATTACTGTATATATATATATATATATATGCCCTGTATGTGGAGAGGTTGACAGACAAAATGGGAAAAAATGATCCCAGAAAACTGACCCGATAGTTGGCTTGTGATTCAGTGTGGAACTTTTTTTCTTTAAATTTAATGTGAGGATTTATGGTTTAGTTTAGAACACTGACTGCCATTAAAAACTGGCACAGTCCTTGAACGCTCCAAACTACTGTAAGGAAATAAGACCAAACATAAAAGTAGTTTAGCTTCTCGATGATGTAAAGTCATTTTAGTGGCATGCCATTATAAGCAGCGGCGCCATAAATGGAGGCTTTTTGCAGCCTTCTACTGCTGTTTACAGGGTGAATTATATATTAATGAATCAAGACTGAGGAAAACGAGGAACACAAAACAAAACAGGAGTCAAAGGGAAGACAAAAGCAACATCCCTGGTAAAAGCTGATAATCTTTTGATACTGTAATTAATAGCTTGATGCAGACACACACTTGTTCATCTATGATCGAAGGCAGCATTCCTCCATGTGTTCGCTACCTTGTTGTGGAGCTGAACAAGCCTCTGTGTCTTCCTGTGCTGTCGGCGTTCCTGTGCTTACCTCTGCGAGTCTCAGAGGCCCGTACACATAGACTCGCCTGCATCTGTCTCTCAGCATGTATCAGCCCCGACGTAAGCCAAAAACAGCACATTACCCAGCTTTCATTGCACCCCAAGGAGGCCCCATTCCATTCGAGAGTGTTATTAGCGGAGCTTAGAAGGATATTTCTGACTGTGTCACTAACTCTCTGCTGACAGACGGAAAAACATCCTCACATACCAAAACAGTGCAGAGAGCAGGGATGCTGCTCTAAATTCAAACATCCTTTGAAGCTGACAAGCCAAATTAACTGGGAAACATGTTGCCGCGATACCACCACAATATTGTGATCAGGCACCGCGTTGCATATTGTGTCAGCCTGAGTCAGCAAATATTTTTTTTACAAATTAAACAATACGACTGTTTACCACATTTAAATTACCCGCTACAGGTTCAATTACCATGCGGCGCAGTAGTCCACACATCATAGAGCCTAAATAGTTTATAAGTACATTATGTTACACGTGTATTTATGTAATATATGAAATTTCTTTTTATGATTGTATTGTATATAAAGCTCCTTAGCTTAATTTAAAATGCAAATGAATAAAAGCTAAATACATGTGCATGAGGTAGTAGGTGAAAAAAAACAAGCGCTGCTAAAGTGAATATGTGAGACATATTTACAGCCAAATAAAATAACCAGGAGTGAAACACAAGGGTCAGCATGATGAATTTCCATCTGCAGCACAAATAAGACCAACCTGGGAGAACAAGACTTCCAGGGTGCGTGTCTGTTAGAGCGATACTGTCTGTTAAAGCACTACATGTGGGGATGTGTGCAGTTTATCCCGTTGTCTGCCGAATGGACTCTGTCAAAAGTCCCCGCTTGTCCTTTTGAGAGTGCTCTCAAGCAGAGCCCAACTGTCAGCATAAGCCAGGTAAACCTGGAGAGGTGGGGTCGATTTTGTTATTGGCATTTCTTTTCTGCTTGACCTTTCCATAACCTGAGCACTCAGACAAGTCCCGGTTGTCTTATGTGGCTGAACTGACCAGAGCAAAGACTCTCGGAAAAACCCCCTGTTGTGGGTTTGAATTCTCAGTGAAAGGAGGAACAATCCATTGTGCTATATGAGGCTTATGTTGAAGAAACAAACAGGGTTTTCTCGATGATTTCTACGAAACATCTCAATTCCCTTGCTTCCCCTGTTGTGGCGGGGTTGTCAAGTCACCATCATCCTCAACAGGATTGGAGTTTTTCTTTCCTCTAGACTGCTGCTGCTGCTGCCTCGTCCTGAAATGATTTCCCCGTGTGATAACTGTGTATGTAGCGTTAAATCGCCGTCTGCTAGCGTATATCAAGTCTGGTTGGGTTTCGTCTGGCTTGTGTTCTTTTGGTGACCTTATAGTCAGACTCCCAGTTGTCTTATTAAAATCTTCACCAGACCATAACAGAGAGCTACTGATGGCAGACTGAAGTTATAGAACGACGTCTCTGCTCAGAAAAAGTTCCCCCCACCATGTGTCATTAAGTGTAAATGACTGTAAAAGTTTAACCAGCTACAAATTCATTCTGTAGTTTCTCTAGTTTCCCTCATGACTGTGCCGTACCTTTAGCGATTGTTTATTCAGACTGCACCTATAAACCAAGACAGCGGTTATTTTCAGCTTCTTTGTTAGCAGGTCAGTTTTAAATATTGCAGGCAGGTAGAGAACAGACGAAGGTAACCAACTCCTTCTGCTGCTGTGTGGGAAAACTATAAAATCAAATCACAGCTGCACATGTCACGACGGAACAAGGCGGGTGATTGACTCAGTTCTTTATTAAAGCAATATGTAATTGGGGATGCTGTTAACCGATACTCTAGTCCTCTTTCCAAAGCGACGACGTTTGCAAACCACAAACAGCCACATCAGCCACAACTTTAATTCTTTAACCAGCCTCTACTGTACAGACTAATCAACTAGTGAACAACACACAACCCGTTTAACTAACTCTGTGGTTTGTGTTTTCAGTTCACTGTCAGCAGCGATTTGTGTTCGTATCCGTGTTAGCGCGGCGGTGGTACAATTGAGTAAATGTGTATCTGCGCTGTATATGCAGCACACCCCTGCTCTTGTATTTCCTGTGATTGAGTGTTATAATAATTCACACACACCAGTGGTTGGGACAGTGGTGAAGCCTCTATTTGCATTTTATAAGATCATCATTTTTCTCTGTCAGCTTTCCTCATCTTCTAGTCTACTGTCTTTCACACAAGGCTCTTCTCATGAAATTGGACCCAGCAGAGTGGAGATGATAACTGTATCTGTGTGTTCTATGTGTGTAAATGTATATATTGTATGATTTGGGAAATAAAAGATAAATTTTAAAAAATATATTTAGAAGGTCGCCGGTTCGCATCCCGGTGAGGACACCCGGAATCTTTCTGCGTGGAGTTTGCATGTTCTCCCCGTGCAGCGTGGGTTCTCTCCGGGTTCTCCTGCTTCCTCCCACACAGTCCAAAAACATGTTGAGGTTAATTGGTGATTCTAAATTGTCCATAGGTGTGAATGTGAGTGTGCTTGGTTGTCTGTCTCTAAGTGTAGCCCTGTGATAGACTGGTGACCTGTCCAGGGTGTCCCCTGCCTTCACCCTAAGTCGGCTGGGATAGAATCCAGCTCCCCCACGACCCTAGTGAGGATTAAGGTGTATAGATAATGGATGGATATTTATGATGTTGCCTGTCTTCATTTATGTGCATTTGTGAGTATATGACCAATTAACTCACAGTGTCTTATGACTTATGACGCTAGCAGCGGCGTACTCACATGCAATGCGGACATGTGCCTTTCGGCTTTTGGTGGTTCCGGCGGAGCTCCAGGCCACGCACTGACACCAATAATCTTCAGGACCGAACAGCTCCTCGACTTGCTGCCGCGTTATTTCTATGCTGGCTTCTCTTACCACGAGACCTGCAGGAGAAAGGAAGAGCACCGTTGCATCATTTGCAATCTCAATTGGGATTTAACATCAAACAAGAAGAAAACAAGCTCTCACGCAAAGCAAGTCACAAATTCCATTTCTTGATTTTTTTTTATTTTTATTTTTTTTATTCATGAACCACTGATACTCAAGAAAAAAAAAGTCTATTTAAGCTTCCACTCGTGTGATGCGGCTTTCATGTCGGCTTAAGAAGCGAAAGTCAAAGTGGTGCACAGTAAATATCTTAGCAAGTAAATATAGGCAGAGGATAATCATTCAATATCTGCCTCTGTTTACAAAGCCAGGTCATTTTACGGAGTAGATTCACCCGGGATTTAATGTAAACTTTGCGAGATTGTTCCTTTGCACTTCCACCATTTATCTCACTCCACCCTCGGATTCCCTTCTTTTCTCTGGTGGGGCTTGAAAGCAGCTCTCATGTAAAGAATAAGTGTGAGGGTTTGAATAGCTGCACCCTACTGATAGGACTACAAGGGAGCACAGAGAGAGAGAGAGGAGGACTGCAGAGGAAAATAGGAAATGAGCAGCGAGGGGATGAAAATATCTGCGACACGGGGAAAGGTACAAGTAGAACACAGGTGTAAATGCTGGAGAAAAGAGGGGCTGAGAATTTTGAGGAAATGCATGACAAAGGGAAGGAATATTGAAGCAGGATCAAGGAGGGACTGATTAAAGAAAGGAAAAAAAAAGAAAGGTTAAGCTCACAGACTGGAAAGAAAAAAGAGGGAAAAGGGAAATGAGAGAAACGGTAGACTGGGAGAAGTAATGGAGAGCGACATGACAGAGGGGAGGAGGAGAGAGGATGACAGAACGGAGGTGGGAGAGGGCAATAAAATGTGAAACAGAAAGGAAAAGGGGGAAAGGAGATAAAAATGGATTTAAGTAAAAGTATGCGAGAACCGGGGAGCAGACGGGCAAAACGCTATGAGAAAAGATCCTGGCAGTTTATTTCAGGTTCAGCGGAGTTACAAAGACCCAAGAAACCGTCTGTGTGTGAGGCTCCACAAATCTGACTGGGGCCTATTACTTATGAAGACTCTCAGTAAGTTCTCGCCACTAGAGAGACAGTTATAGTAAGCAAGCCAGCACAGAGGCAAAAGGGGACCGAGAGGAAGGCAAAAAGTGAAATCCAGTGAAAAAGGGATTGTGGCAGACTTTAACCATTAATGGCTGGCAAGAGAATTAAGGAGAAACCCATGAGGGCAAAGAGTAAGAAAGGCAACACGAGCTTTCAAGGAAGAGAGCTGAGAGATGGGGGAGACTTTTGAGTTTGGAACATGAAGATGGAAGATGTGGAAAGTAAAGGGGGACCTTAGATGACATAGAAATCCAGAGCTGCAGACGAGCAAAGTGGAAAGTAAGAAATAAAGTACAGAAAAAAATAAGCTTGTGGAGGGCACAACAATGGATAACAGCCAGCGAGGGAAAGAACACTGTCAGGGCAAGAAGGAGCGTGAATATTGGTGCAAACAAGCAAACAAGGGAGATTGATACGGCTTAAAATTAAAGAGCAAGAGAGGCAGAGGCTACAAAAAAATGGCAGCTAAAGAGGCAATTATAAGCAGCAAGCAAACCAGGAGCAAAGCTGAAACAACTAGTGGGCAGGCAGTTGCAATGAGCAAGACAAAAAAATAAAAAATTAAAATGGTGTGAGGACAAGAAGGGCAAAGGGGGGGCTGGAGAGGAGGTGGAGACCAGTGAGGATGCTGCTGCCAAAGTAATGAGCAAAGTAAAGGCAATTAAAGTGAATGTCTCAAATGAGCCAGACAGCTAGTTATGGCCAACGCAAGGAAAGCATACGGGACGGTCCACGAGAGACGACTGGGTACAAGGTGGAGAGTAAGGTTCTATGAGAGGGAATAAATGGCACTTTTAAAGCGTTTGCATCACCGTGAATGTCAGCTATTAGGCTTAACATCAAAAACTATTAGCAGTAAAATATTAAATCACTGGAGCAGTTCAAGGAATAGCAAATAGCTACACTGCATACAGGAAAGTAAGAAGAAAAAAAACAGCCTACTCAAAGCCATCACTGAAAAACTCAGCCGCTCGCTTTGCTGTTAAGAGAATAATCCTGAAGCATGTGTTACAGCGGCTGCACCTCACGTATTCTGACTGAAAACCTGCAGCTGGCTGGTTAAGAAGAAGCTTTCTGCAGGCAGAAGACTGACGAAACCTTAGAAAATAAAAAAACTTTTAAGCTTGTTTGGAAACGCAGCTAACCAAAAAGCCCCGACACAGAATTTTTAGGCATCCAGAGCTATTTTAATCTAAAAATAATAGTGAATTGGCTCATCTTTAGCATTCACTTAATTGTCTACATGCTTCAAAAAAAAAAAAGAGTACTAAGCTGTTGCTACTAACTCAACTTTCAGCTAGTCTCATTGATAAACTACAAATCTGCAAACAAGTCTTGAGAGCTACACTTGATCCCTACGGTCGTGGACGAAATGGTTTTTAATCGGTGAGGCGATTAACTTTTTGTCGAGGTGAAAAAAGGCTGACTGCAAGAAGTCAACACCTGGATTATTACATAGGAGTTAGGGATGTCAGGGGATGAGTGCAGTGTAAACCAGGGGGTTGTTGCAAGGTACTGAGGGTCAAGATAAAAAGAAATTAGTCTGAGGACTAAACAGAGAAAAGACTGTTAAAGGGATGTGAGAAAAAGGAAAACAAAACCAGGCGAAAACATCTACAGAGAGAAACAAGTGGCATTTTAAAGGGATTACTTCTTCACAGTGGATAAAACTAATGGCTGCAATGTGTTTGATTTCTCATTGAGGCTACAGCAAAGTCAGATCCAGCAGCGTGACACCTGCCATGTTAGCAAGAGGTTATTTCAAATGGA